TAATTAACATATTCTAGTGTTACATACCATGATACTTTGCTATTTTCGAGGAGAGAATGAGTAGAGCAGGTATTTCAACAGAAAGGAATGTAATACAGTCTGAATATTAGTGCTTTTGGCCTAGCGCTAGGAAACTGCAGCTTTCCATTCTTTCCAAATGTTGTTGTTGTAGGGGAAAAATATTTGAATGTATTCCGTCAGTAATAAAAAAAAACAATTAACTGATTTTACATATTGTGTTTATTTGTAGGCTGTGCTTTCTGGATGATCTTCGGCGTGACTGGTCTGGTCACAGGCATGGAATCTTTCTATTCTGTTGGATACAGTCTGTTTCGTATGACGCTAGTTGACGACTATGATTACGAGGCAAGTATTATACTAACATTTGTCACATACAACATTCAAACATTTTACAATCACATACCAATGAAATGTGACACAGTAGAAGAGAACAAATGATTGATTGATTTATGTTTCAAAAGATGTTTTATTGATCCTAATCACCCTTTAATGAAGATGTTCAAAAGCATTATATAATAAAAATTTAATATAAATTTTTTTTTCACTTGAGATGAAGAGTAACTGAAAAGTTAACACTATATTTGTCACACTGAAAAAATAGCCACTCAAAAGGTTTAAGTGTACTTACAAAAAAGTAAACAAATTTAATTTGACACCACTGATATTGTATGTTATTGTGCCACTGATGGATTGCATACACAGTTAATGTTTATTTCACTTCTTTTTCTTATGTTTATTGTTTGACAGGGTATGAAGGCGGTTGACCCAATCATGGCTGACATCCTGTGTGGTACATTCTTAGCTGTGTCTGCTGTACTCTGTCTTAACTTGATGATTGCATTACTCTCTGATACATTCCAGAGGTACACATGTAAACAGAATCTCTTGACTTGTTCGCTCTGTTGTCTCAACATAATTTCACAGGCGTTTTCAGCAGTGATTTACATACTTTCAAATAGTTATCGCTGAGAATGTTCTCAAAATGGTTATCTCACTATCTGTGTTACCGTACTTCAATTGTGATCTTCACATATCACCCCCGATTGCATGCCCTCATTTTTATCATCAATCAATCACATTCATTAAAGGGAGGTGATCATTGTGCCATGCATGCACAAGATATAAACAAAGATGACGTACAGACCAAACAAGTACAAACTGAGATGTTCCTAAGCTTTATTTTGGTAATTTTTTTAGTGATTAGAAGGTATCGTAGGAATCACCAGTGATAATTAGATCAGTCGCCCCATAGTCAAAACTCATACTTGTGATTTCTCTTGGAAGAGCATGTTTAATAGTGGGAAAATAAAATGTCTCACACGCACAGCATGACGACCATGGCCCTGTAAGTTTATAATCGATCACTGTCAATTAATCCCAATTTATATTGATTGTTTAGAGTATATGACAATGCCAAGTCAAATGCCGCAATGCAGAAGGCAGCTATCGTCTTAGGTGTAGAGGATGGACTTTCAACCAAGGATAGAAAGAAGTTTATGACCCACATTTGGGAACACTGTGCTCCAGAAGAATTGTACTACGACGATGACCTCACAGGGCCAGGTGCTGGTGATGATCTAAAGAAAATCACCGTCCAAATCAAGGTGAGTTTCCGCTATTGTAAAGAAGTAGTATAGTTTAAATCTTGAAATCAACATTTTAAAAATAGCACTGTTGTTGCAATTTGTAAATTAATCTTCAGTCTGATTGTGTTAAACATTTACTATCTTCAAACTCAATTTCTTTCAATAAAATCAGCTATTGCAACATTTTCATTCTCTTTTATGTAATTGTTTGGTTTTTCAATACCATCAGAATGCAGGCTGATGAATGCTTAACATCAACAAAAAAAAGAATTTATTTTTGAAAACTTATATGGATGCTGTTTACTACAATATTCAGGTTAATAATAATACCGGGTACCAGTGTTTAATTCATTGACTATATTAACCTGTCAGGTTCTTTTTATCATAAGATAAGCCTACTGTATTACTTTTTCAGCTCCAGCTTTCTGTAGAACATTCACATCCAAATATGACAGTCCGATAGTTGACTGTTATTCCATTATTTTTTCCTTCCACATGTGTAGAACAGTTTTGATACAACTGACACAAGTTGTCTGAAATTTTATATTTCACTTTCAAACTTGCAAGATTTTCAGACAACATTTAAATCTGCAAAAAAACAAACCTTGCCATGCAAGGTTTCATTGCGGTGCATTATTACAAAGAAAGACGTGTGCTTAAAGGTAGCCTACTTATAAATGAAAATACCCAGAATTTATTAATTTTGCAATAAATTATGCTCAGTTTGAATATTTACATTTTAATCTCCATTTCATTGTGTCATTTGTTCATTTTATTTTTAACACACAAGTACAATGTATTTGGTTAATACTCTTCTGATAAATTCAACTAATTAAATAACCACATTTAATCTACATCTACATGTATATGGGAATAAAAAGCAGTTGAGCTGGAATCACTAAGATGAGACATGTTCTAGGTTACCCTATTTATACTGTTCAAAATTTGATTCAAAAATGTCAACAAAAATTTCTAAAAAAAAAAAAGTGAACAAAAAATTGATTGTGCCTGAATGTTTCAATATTATTTAAAAGACAAATGTTACTTTGAAGTAACCATGATTAATTTTGCCATACTGCTAACTTTTTTTCTGAAGGATGAGCTTGATGTGATCAAAACGGATATGTATACTTACTTTGGAATCAACAAAACTGCTGCGGTAATAACTCAGCATGTGGTTCTATCGATGTCCGTGTGTGTGTGTTAGTGCATGCATTGTACCCTACAGCATGGTTGAGGGTGCTCTGTCTGATCAAATTAATTGGATCAACTCTAAGAGTTCTATATTTTGAATTGCTACAACAGTGATTATTTGCATGAATAACAATTGATTATGAAATTTACGCATGTTATAATACATATCACTGAATTTGTGTGTGCATGCTACATTTTGTAAATCCTCACATCTCCTAGATGCTGTATTTGGGAATTCCATAACATTTCTGGTAATGCTATATTTGGACTATTAATAAAACTCTATTTAGTCATCCAATGGTACCAATGATTAGATAATACTGTGTTTTGGATACAACTTAACAATTTAATTTGAAAGTTTACACATTGCCATCTTGTGGCTTATGTAATATTGCCTCTATCAATACAGAAAACAGAGCGCCCTCAGTGGGGGGGGGGTGTTGAAATATGTACTAGTAGTACCTTCAGTAATGAATTTTGGTTTTCACTTAGTAGATGATGGTGTTGATTTGTGCCAATGTTTCTAGCATGGTGTGTGCAGTTCAAGCCAACCCAAATTTCACTGTTATTTCTAAATCCTACTGTTGTCTTATCAGTTTCATGTTAGTGACATTAGCATTGTAATAATCTGTACCTCACATATTGCTTGTTTCGCAATTGTAACATACATATTATGGGGTGTATATATATTTTTATAAGAAATTAATATGAATATTCATACATATAATTGTACTACCTTATATGAAGCCAAGTAGTCAGTTATATGTTCTATGTCATATGTGATATTAAATGCATCGCATTTTGATTTGAAGTTTTATTTTGAATAACGCTTAGTGATCATTGCAGTTGTCATCCACTGTGGCAGCTTTTTTGCTTTCAGGGAAAATTCCTGTTCCTGTCCTTTATTCCCTTCATCAGCTTTGTCAGTGTTTTGTGCTTGTGGTTGCAGTAATTCACAGTCAGTTTGTTCATCAGTTTTTCAACCAACTTTGATTCAATATCAGGATGACCTAGACGAAATGAATGAAGCCCTGAGAGCCGCAAATGTTACACACACACCAGGCTCAAACAGTCTCAATGATGAAGTGCAAAGTTTAAAAGGAGATGTGGAAGATTTGAAGAGAACCCAAGAAAGACAATTTGATGACATCAAAAGAGATGTCAAGAATGTCTTGAATATATTAGAAGAACTCTTGAGAAGAGGTGAGTGGATTTTTAACAGAAAATATCAGAATTGACCACTTAAAACACATCTATAAAATATCAGTAATCTAAATTTCTAATGTGAGAACAATGTTTCTTTTAATGAAAAGTGTCACATTTTGAAATTATAATGTCTGATCCATAATGTTCTTAGGTGGTGGCAGCGGTGGTGGTGGTGGTAATTTCCATCGAGGAGATCCTGGTAATCGCAGAGGTCGTGGAGGGCGTTTTGACCCCAGGGATGATGGTGATGATGATTACCGTGGTATGGGTGGATCACACAGACCAATCAGTACTGCAGATGACCCAAGACTACAAAGTTTACAACGTGTTTACACAACTCAGTTGATGGCGGCCGATAATGAAAGGTAACATCAGGACTAGGCATTCATTATTTTAAGATGCACTCGATACATTTTGTATATTTAGAACACTATTGTGCCTCAGTGATGTGAAAATTACCCAGAGGTTATTAACCTTTTAACCACCAGCTCCCTGTTTTCATCTCAAATTCAATAAATAGTTCCGTTTATAGTCAATTTTTTTAGTAAAAACTGAAAATGTTGGCTCCAAAATTAGGGTTAATTCATTTCCAAAAATATTGAAGAATATAAGACAAAAATCCAGACAAATTTGTGAGAGAAATTCTGATGGTGAAAAGGTAAGTAATGTCATTCAATTCGACAACTGATTGATTTTCATAGGGTTTGTTATTTACAATATCCCTCAAAAAATTTACTGACTGACAACTCCAAGTGATAAAGCTCGTTGATTGCAGTGATGCTGCTTGAATATTAAAACTGCATGCATGGTAGTGCTATAATAACATTGAAATACCATATAACTATTTTAAAATTGTTTTTCATCAGTTCACGGCGTGCCAGAAGTATCTCACCACACCAGTACAGAGCACCTGTTCTTCCAGATTCATTGCTGGAACCTGGTCCTACCAGGTCCAGTATTATGATGGATCCGGTACCACCAGTCCCGGGCACTATTAAACAAAAATCGACATCGCCAGAGGCAGAGAAAGAGAAGTACGTAATCAATCACGTATTTTGTGTTGTTTAAAGTCAAGGGTCAAATTGTGTTCAATATTACAAATAACAGGTTATATATAGCATTGTATATAACAGTATGTCGACTGTTCATAATCCTACTATTGTAAAAATGAAAGTAATACGTTTTGATTTGTTAGACTCAAGAAATACAGACAAGAGAGTGTACAGAAAAGAAAGAAACGACATGCACAGGAAGAGTACTTACTCCATAGACAGTCTTCAGATGCAAGGGAGAGTTTATCTTCTGAACTTGATGGTGATGTGGTGAGTTATTGATATTCAGTGGTGTGTGATTTTCATGTAGTCTGTCATTGTAACCTACCACTCACCAATGTAACAACTATTTAGTCTCTCGCTATCACTGCAATTTATAAGTTTTTATAAATGTAATATTGAATTTCTGAAACTGTACTGTTAAGTTTCTATAACAGATTGACATTCTTGACCTGTCGTTATGGCACAGTACAGATCCAACCTGTCACTATGGCACCATAGAGATCCGACCTGTCACTACAGCATCGTACAGATCAGACCTGTCACTCACTCCATCATCGAACAGATCAGATCTGTGTCGCTACAGCACAAAGGTTTTATCATACACCTTGTATGTGTAATTACAATTTTACCATGGCCTGACCTCGAACACATGATGTACCGTACTTCCCCGAGCATAAGCCCAGGAGCCTGAACATGTAAAATTGGAAAAAATAAGGGCTTATACTCGAGGACCACCTCAGACAAAATAATTTGTTGGTGCGTTTAAAACTATAACCATCTCCCAGCCTCGAAACATTATCCAAATTACATTTTTCTGTTCACAGCGCCGGTCTCAGAGGAATATTACGTCATTTCGAGAAAACTAAAATGCGAAACGAGCAGTCATTGATTTCAACGACGCTTTTTACAATGAAGAAACAAATATGAACAAAAAACAATAAAATTATTACAATACAGTTCACATACCGTCTAAAATTATGGTGCAAAAATGAGTAGGGTCTGTGGAAGAATGGTTGAAGGCAAGATCGTACGCAAACTCTCGATACAGAGCTATTTCCGCCATGGTTTCATCATAATTTGACCTGAACAACTTCCTTTGACCTAACGAGTCACGTCTTTCGTTAACCAATGAAAATGCTCTGTCATACAGTCAAAGTTTTCCGATTATTGATGAAGTATTTTTATTAACGCAATGTAGAAGTGTATTACCGCGATGTTAAATGCGATCTGTTCACACTGATTTGGACAAAAAATGGTGACTTTTTTCCCTAAAAACTGTTGATTTGCAATTTTCGAAAGGTAAACCGAGGGTGAGGGAAGTATTTAAACCTTTCACAGCCGCCAACAAGTCGTGTCGAAAAATAGTTTGCTCGTTCACAGCCCATTCACGATAGTCTCAATGAACAAGATTATTCGGAAAAGTAAAACAATGATAGTGACCAGGTTTCATGACTTGACGACTTCACATTTTTGGAAAACTACTACTCATAAGAAATATGGATTATTTCAATATTGCAGCATGGGGGTTCATCCTGAGTAAATAACAGGATAGAAAACGTGCGAACTATGTGCGTTCGCCCGCCGTATACTGTATTTTAATAAATGGCGTCGATGCTCGGTAAAAACACCATGGGCCTATACTCGAGGATGCCCTCAACTCGTTAAATGTCCAAAAACAGAGGAGTGGACTAATACTCGGGGAGGGGATTATACTCGAGGAAGTACGGTACACGTTTTGCTGGGCCAGCCGTGATACAGGTAATAATTGCCTTGATGTGGTGTTACAAGACCAGGCAATGATGATATACAGATCTGACCTGTCGCATTTTCACTTTCAGTCCCAGTTCACTGACCGAGATGGATTAGTGGTTCATATGAGTGGAATGTCTGTATCATCACCTCAACCAGATTTAGCAAAAGAGGTCAAGATCAAGTCCAATGTTTTGGTAAGTCACTATCTCTTGATAGTTTATGTGTTAAGTTTCTTTTAAACTAAGGTAGAAAAAAAAAAACATGTTCCAAATACAACTGGATTTTTCTGATTATCAGAATTTGTGGCAACGAGAATTCACAAAATTTTTGAATATTTTCCTCACATGTATTGTGCAAGTGGTATCATAAATGATGTCAAAAGTTATAGGTAACAATTATGGATTCCAATTGCCCTGATATTCAGGAATGATAAAGAAGAATGTGACATTTATTTATGAGAAATTTTAATACGTTCCTGATGATGTAATACACTTATTGCAATTATTTAACTTGTACCAACTTTGATACTTTCAGGGCGACTCATCTCCAAGATCGTCAGAGGCTTAACATTTGTAACAATCAATGCTATTGGTGCTCTACACAACAAATCAAGGCTTGCAACCAATCAGGAAGAAGAATTCAAATCACTTTGAATCAAGCCTGTCATGTGTGTTAAGCACTAACTAATGTTGTATATTTTACATCCAATAATATCCGTCCACTTTTACTCATCTGAGGATCATACAATTATGTAATGATGGAGGGGGGCAGCTATTTTTTGTATTCAAACTTGTATAGTTTTTGTGCTGAGAAAATACAATTTTAATTTTTATAAAACAATGTAAAATTGTTATACATTTTATTTTGAATATAATTGAGATGGATAGATAATTTTTACAAATACTTAATATAGATTTTATGTGCTTTTGATTGTGTAGAGATGATCGCATTTTGTATATATTTTGGTAAAAAAAATTGTAACAGCTTATGTTTAAATTGTAAATTTTTGAAATTTTAATATTAAGAGAAATGTTATACTAACTTCTGATGTACTTATGATGTATGCGTGTATGAAAAGGGCATTAGTTTATTTTGAATGTTTGGCTGTTTGGTTTCAACCAATTTACCACCATTGGTAACTACCATTACTGCTAACAAAGTAGTCCCAATCAAGCATTTCTCAATTTCAGCAAAGTTTTAATGAAAACATTAAAAAAAAATGTTTATAATTTGTATATGACCTAAAAATAAATATAAAAATTAGAGACAATTAATCTAAATGGTTTAGTATGCTAACGCTTTTGCCACTGTATTTATTTGTACATGTATATCATTCACATCATCTCTGAAATAGTGAGGCTGAATTTAATCTGTTTAGAAACAGAAATGGAATGAAACAAGCATATTATAATTACACATTTATTATTTTTTTCATTTACAAAAAAATAGAATTCTTAGGATACTTTGAAACTTTTGGAATCACCATTAAGGCTTGAGGGAATAAAATATCCAGTTTTCTGGTCATCATCATATGCGATATCTAAAATTAAGATTATATGCCAATTTTGAAAAAATGTGCCTGTCCAGCCTGAAGCCCATCGCACACCACTCTCTATGATATGAATATGGCAATCGTGGCAATAAGTGCAAACCAGATAGTGTCATGTTACGATGATATGATGTGGAATGTATTTTATTCATTTAGTGCATTCTGATTGGTGCAATTCTGATAAATATTGGCCAAACATACTGAATGCATACAACCATCTACAGTGTAACAGTCAAATTATGTTGTGTCACATCTTAGAAGGTTTTGTGTGGCGGGCTTAAAATGTGTTGCATTTTATCGTCTACTTATCTTTTCATGTTGATTGAAATATTTCAAATTGTAGAAGTAAATAGTTTTGAAATTAGAACAAGTGCGCCCTCTAGGGAAAATACTTACCTATAGAGGGCAGAGTTTCATGTAACAACATAAATTGTATTTACGATAGCTGTATATGACTTAACCAATATTAATACTGGAGACATCTCGATTCCTCCATCCATGAATTACATATTGGAGTTTTTGAGGGTTGAATGAAGACAAATATATTGTAATAAAAACATTCAAACCTGTGATATTTCCACTTTTGTACTTTTGAAAAATAAAACATATATTGGGTAGC